TACAATTTCCTTTATGCCTAAGCTTGTTTGATTCAGGTTTCTCGTGTGCAACCTAGATAACCCACTGCCTATTCCTTTTATCTTTGAAGTTACTTAGAGGTATCTACACAGAATTTCATTTTTAACAACCTCCCCTTCTGCCTTCAATTTAATTTCCGTTAGAAAACCCTGGCCATGAAATCTGCTCTTCTACAGTCTAGGACAGCTTTTTCAAAAGCGTATTTTGTGAGCTCTTCCATGAAGAAGAAGATTTCCATGGTCAAAGGCCTTTGGGAGATAAATGCTGCATGCACTATTCCTATCTTAGAGATTCATGATGTATTATATTAAAGAATTCCTGCAATGGATAAATACGTTTAATGTTTTCAAACCAGAATTCCCTAGAGTCCTTTTGGGCCCCGGGTCCTTTTTATTCATATAACATGTTATATCCCAAACTCTTGATGTTCCATAGTGCTCATTTTGGGACATACTCTCTAGGACCACATGCAACTAACCCCCTTACTTTAAAATGGCATATTACCAGGGTGCTCCCCATGAAGTTGTGTGACCAAGGTGAGCACCCCGTGTGGGGCATTGTCAGCCTCGAGGAAGGGACATTTTTGATAATTTTCATAGAGCCACTGTCTACTCACTAAGCATGAACCCATAGGACTGGATCTACTCAAAGAGGGGTGCCTTTTGTGAACTTACTCCCTGGCGCCCTTTGTGTTGATGGTGGTCAATACCATCACCACCTCCCCAAGAGGTCCTTCCTGTTAGTGAGAATTATCCCCAGAAGAGTGGTTCCCTCACTGCTTCCTGACACTGCTGAGAGGTGAAGCCATCCACAAGGCAAGGCAAAAGTGTTCCAGAGGCTCTTCTTCGAGCAGAATGGGTTCTCCAGATGTTGAGGTGCTGCAAAGCCCTGTCTCAGGTGTGGATATTTGGAATAGCCTCCACTTCTGGAGTTCTTCTTGACTGTCTTCCCACCTGCTGGTGGGCATGATCACCCTCTCATTGCTTACAGTTTGCAGAGAGCTCTCATTTGAGCCCTTCAGCCATCCTGTAAAGCCAATGGGCTTTATTTGTCTCTATTTTACAGATGAGGAAACAAGCTCATTCACTTGGCCTTAGTCACACAGTTAGGAAAGGAAGTGTTGGGCTGTGGTCTTGGGTCTGTGTGACCTTGTCATGCCATCTCTGTCTTCCTACACTGCCTCCATCATCAAAGTGCCTGGGCAAACATCAAACTGCCACAGGCACATTTCAATTCCTTTCCTCTCCATCATCACCCAAATACCTCCTGGACTCCTGGGCCTGGCCTCCTTCCTCTGGGTTTGAGAGGTGGGAATGTTAAGGAAGTGAGATGGCATCTGTGGGGCCACATGGTTTGGCAGGTCAGGAAGGCTGCCTCTTAATGGCTGTGTCCATTATCCTCGGGATCAGTGACCAAGCAGTCACACGTGTCTGCTCACACACGTTCTCCTCAGGTGGCTTCACAGATAAGCATCTCTCACCTACCAGGGCCCACCTCTTATACTTCAACAGATGTCTTGACTTCTCTCCCACCACATGGGACTCACCTCCCACTGGGCCAGGAAATAAGCAGCTTTGAGGTGACCAGCATCTCCAAGAGGTACGAAGAAAGATACAATGGAGGGAGCTCTGATGCATGAATTCAAGGGCCCGCCTAGGGGGTCTGCGAGAAGTGACCAAACCTCAGCCTCCTTTTTTGGAAAATGAGGACAAGGAGTTCTGCCTGACACTCAAGGTCATGGTGAGGGGAAAGCCAGGAATATGGAATATTATGACTCCAAGAATATAGGAGGTGGCTGCAAAAGCCAAAATCCACAAAGTCAACAGTTATCAGAAGCTGTTTTCCAATATACTGACTGCTCTCCAATATGGTGGCCACTAGCCCTCTGTGGCTCTCTAACTTAAAAGAATAAGAATGAAATTATATTAAAAATTCAATTCCTTTGCAAAGGCATAAGAATGATACAATGCACTTTGGGGATGTGGAGAAAAGGGTGGGTGTGGGGTGAGGGAGAAAAGTTGACACATTGGGTACAGTGTACACTGCTCGGGTGAAGGGTGCAACAAAATCTCGGCAATCACCACTAAAGAAGCTGCTCATGTAAGCAAACACCACCTGTTCCTCAAAAACCTATTGAAATAAGAAAATTCAACTCCTCACTCTCCCAGCCACCTTGCAAATATTCAGTTGCCACAAGGGGCTAGTGGCTAATGGATGGGGCAGACAGACATTTTCATTAGCCCAGAAAGGTCTACAAGACGGCACGGATTGGATTTTTCTCTAACCTGTTTCTTCTGCCCCATCCATCACCCTGCTCCTGCTTCAAACCCATTCTTCACACAGCCTGCTTCCCCAGCTTCCCAGACTCAAAGGAAATTGTCTCACGGAGTGTACTGGTCGGTCTCCCAGGGATAACTCAAACTCTCGGCAGGAATGAGAGTGGAGTTCTCTTGCAGAACCTGTGCACACATGTGCCCCCAGTGAGATAATATGATCCTGAAAGGGGGGGGTCTTTGTCTCCTATCTCCTGCACTGCTGATGATGACCTGCACAGTGTTAGCACGTGACAAGTCTTTAATCAAGATTATGAATTTTTTTCCCAAATTGGTGTAGCTCTTCGTCCAGTCAGGTTGACTGGGGGTCCAAAAGCTTGGGTCAGAACAGTTTTGGTTCAGCTATGAACTCACTGCATGACTTCAAAGACATCATTGCTTCAAGCCAGGCCTCAGGGGAAGAGAAGGTTGGCCTGGAATAGATGATCTCAGAGGTTCTTTCCTTCTCACTGTCTGTGGCTTTGGGAGGCAGAATACAGACTTCTTGGGTAGCCTTGTAGCCTGCAGCCCGTGCTCAGACCAAGACCAAATCCCACAGAGAACTGTACTTTGTGAGGATGTCTGTGATGGGGGCCTGGCACCGAAGATGCATGCGTGTGCATGCGTGCCTGTGTGTGTGCATGCGTGCATGTGTGCGTATGCGTGCATGCGTGTGCATGTGCGTGCGTGTGCATGTGCGCATGCGCATGCGTGTGTACATGCTCATGTGCATGTGTGTGTGCATGCATGCGTGTGCGCATGTGCGAGCGTGTGTGTGCGTGCGTGTGTGCATGCATGTGTGTGCATGTATGTGCATGTGTGTGTGTGTGCGCACATGTGCTTTTGCCCCTGAATCAAGATAACAGGCTGAGAAACCTACTATTACCATGAAAGGACATAACTAATTTCTGTTTAGGCTTTGAGTGTGGGGTCTCCATGACTCATTTTATTTCCTTACTTCTCTCTTCTTCCACACATGATTAGATGATTAAATATGTTCTGGTGTTTGCAAGAAGGGCCTCTCTTTGGGGACCAAGACTATGCCCTGGACCCAGGGTTGTCTACAGACCTCCACAGTCTCAGGCCTGGGCTGGCCTCAGGATGCCCTGGAAATGTAGGCCCTGTCCACCAGCCCTCAGAGATGCTAGAAATCAGCAAGGGCACAAACCTTCATCCCTCTTCATCTGAAGGGGCATTGAATACACAGCCTCAACAAAGCATCTCCTCAGCAAGTGGCTGATGGGACTTGGGGTGCCCTGGCACCTGACGTGAGCTGCCAGATGGCACTGGGGCAGTGACATGTCTGTGGCCAGTTTATCTTTCAGTTGGAGGAGCAGAGGACTGGCTGTGATGGGAGTTAGATGGCTACACTCTTCCCTGCATCAGGGTGTTCCTGAGAGAGGGGCAGTGGGAGAGAGCCTGGAGTCTATAGTCAGTCATCCTGGGTTGCAAGCCATCGCTGCCTCAGCAGCCTGATAAGCCTGGGTATGGTGAGTGCCAGACTCTATAGTCCAAAGTCAATGGGCTCAAAGCACAGGGGTCGTAAGAGGTGGGGGCTGGGCTGCTTGGCCTCCACCCCTTCCTCAGCCCCAACCTGAGGTCTCAGGACCTCCGTCCTGCTGGAATTTTCTCTCCTCCTCCTGCTTCCCTTCAAGCTGCTCCTCATGCTCCTCTCTTGAGCCACCTCTGGAATCCTTCCTGTTATGCCCTGAACACAGCATTAATCTTACTTTGGGTCTCCCTTCAAGCCATGGTTCCCATCCTTGGACACCTCTTTACCTTCTCTTCCTGGTGAAATTCTAGAGGCTGCTGACACTCCTTGGCTTGTGGCTGCATCGCTCCAGTCTTTGCCTCTGTCATCACACTGCCTTCTCTTCTGTCTGACCTTCCTGAGCCCCTTTTATAAAGACTTTTGTAATTACATTAGGCCCATCTGGATGACCCAAGACCATCTCAAGACCCTGCTCAAATGCTCTTGGTGCTTTCCCTGACTCTGTCTCCTGTGATTGTGTCTACTCCTCTGGGCTGTGATCAAGGACTTGCTCTTTTTCACCATAATGTCCTTACTTGAGTGCAAAGCCTGAGGTAGCATACATGGTTAAGGAATAGTTTGCTGAAGAAATGAATGCATAAATGAATGCATGAAATAAGCTTTAGAGTCTATATACATGGGTGCCCTAGGGGCTCAGATGGGCACGGTGCCAAGTCCCCGAGCCCATGTCCTTTGGTATTCCAATACTTCCCAGCCCCTCTAGCTTCCCCCAGTGGGCAGCAGGCTGCTTTCCCTTCAGATCTCCTAACTGAGTTGGGATATTCAGCATGACTGAGAGGAAGAGGCTGTTCCATCCTCTCCCCGTCTCCTGAAATCAATCCACTCACCTGCCCAACCACACCTGCTACTTCAAACCTTTCCCCGTGCCTTCCCTCCCACTGCCTACCTTCCCTCTCCAATATTCCCATTGCCTATCCCTCTCCCACAGAGTAAAATGTGAGAAAACCAGAGCATCCCAGCCCAAGCCAGGGACATCATTATGATTTACCAGCATGTCACCAGCCCCTTGCTGGAGAGCAGTCCCTCACTGGCTGGGCCAAGACAGCCCATCAGCCTTTCAGAGTCAGGCCTGCAACCCTCCACCATCACCCAGTGCCCATCCCTGTGCCCAGCTCACCTGTCTCTCCCCAGATGGGCAGGTACTCATCCTGCTGAATGTCCAGCATGATCTCCAGCCCGTTGCCTGTCCCCCCCTTGACTGTGGTGAGCAGAGGTTTGCCATCCTCTCCTGAGTTAAACATGTAACACTTCCCATATTTTGTAAACACCTGAAGGAGAGAAGAGAGAGAGAGAGAGAAGCACATGGGTAACTGCAGATGGGGGTGCAGAGATTGGCGAGACCCCAGAAATCTGACAGCAGGTTAGTCTCCCCACAGTCCATCACCATTACCCCTCTTGGGGACCTTTTTTTTTTTTTTTTTTTTTTTTTTTTTTTTTTTTTTTTACCCTGGCCATGCACCTGACTTTTACCAAGTGAAATTCTGGCATCAAAGAGCAAATCTGGACAAACTTTGGGGTTTGTTGCAGTAGGATTTGGTCTCTTCTTCCTCTGAGCACTACCCCTGGGAAGTCCTATTCACTTCGAGGCATTAAATGTCATCTGTAAACTCCTGACCCTTCAATCCACACCTCCAATGCTGAGCTCTCTTCTGGCCTCCAGACACACTGGTCTCACTCATTGTCTTATAAACATACCTTCGAGGTATGCTTCCAGCAAACCCCGGGCACTCAGCTTGTCCAGAGGGAACCGAACTTCTTCCTTAGCTTCCTCATCCCACTGGACAGTTCTCTCGCACTTCTGTCCCCGGGAACAGCCCCGCCATCTGCCAAGGGGCTCAAGCCAGGCACTCAGAGTTTCTGCCCATTCTTCTTATTCCTTACCCTGAGGACCAATCAGCCAGCAGAGCCTATCAATAATCTCTCTATATCTGTCTAGAATTTAGTCTTTTGTCTTCTTTACTGCTGGAATTTAGGACCCAAGCGTTTTTGCCTGAATCACTCTGGTTTCCTGGGTGGACTTCAGGCTTCCAGATGACCTTCTCCAGCCCATCCTCTAAGGTGACTGTGGGTCACTTTCAAATGCAAACCCTATCACATTAATCCTGTGCTGAAAATCCGTCAGGGCCCCCAATGTTCTTTAGGCTAGAATTCAGACCTGCATGCCCCGTCTTCTGCCATGCCCTCCACCTATTCCTCCTCCTTCTACTCTGCTGCTTCCCGCCCGAGTCCAGTAGCATCCACTGGAAGGTAGACTCCAGGGGCTCAGGGACTACTTCTGCTTGCTCATGATGTGTCTGTCCCTAGCAGCTAGCATAGTGCCTGGTACATGGGGTGCTCCAGAAATATAGGTTGAATGAATGACTGAGTAAGTGGGTGAGTGGGTAGAGCCAGACCAAACAACTTGCAACAGCCCCGGGTCATATGCTGCTGTTTGACACCCCTTGTGGCTTTCCACTTGCTGCTTGTGCCATCAGTAAGTCCTCTTACTTCCCTCTCTGCCTGGACAACCTCTAGCTGGACTCTAAGACCAGATCAATGCATTTCCTTCTCCAGTAAGCCTTCCTGAGACCCTGGACCAAGTTGGGTTACTCGCTCCCCTGGCTCCTTCATCACAGCACCCATCTCGTGGCACTCACTGAGTAGTTGGTCTTGCATCTCTCTTGAATTTGACTCTGCCTCTCATTCCTGAATCCAGGCATCTAGTACATTGCTGGCACACAATAGAGGCTCAGTCAACTTCTGCTTGATGAAAGTATGATTACAAAGGGGGCAGTGTGATGGTGTAGAAAAGCCCAGGGAAAGGAATGCAGAGATCTTTGTCCAAGTTTTGACATAGCCACTTCTTAGTAGTGTGACTTTAAGTGAACCAAATAAACCCTCCCAGCCTCAATGTCTCCATCTATAAAATGGGGATTCTAGTCTTTGGCTTTTCTACCTCTCAAGGTTATCGAGAGGATCAAATGAGGTAATGCATGCAAAAGTGCTTCAAAACTGTAAAAGCTTTCTACAAATGCTGTGGGTTATGATGATTATATAACTGCTTTGGAACCTCGAGCTGAAGCCAAATTACATCTGGCAAAATTGGCTGGAAGAGAGCCAGGCTGACTGTATTGGATTCCTGCAGCCATAGAGATTTGGGTCTGGGCCACTTTCCTGAGCACGCTCCACTGCACCGTCCCATCCTACAGCATGGAGGCCACAGGGAGGCTCTTTGGCTTCCCAGCTTTCAGTGCACAGGCAAGAAAATAACAGAGGTGACTGTGGGAGGCTGCCTTTCTTATGTAAATCTTGATGACTAGATAGAAGAAAGGAAGAGAGGTCTCTATCATGTGCCAGGAACTGTGCTAGATGCTTATCTATGTTATCTCATTTAACTCTTACAACTGTGACCATTGGCGATTACTGCTTCACCTATTGTGCGGAGGAGGACACCAAGGCCCAGAGAGGTTAAGTGACTTGCCTAAGGTCACACAGCTAGTAGTAGAAAAACTGAGATTCAAATTTACATCTGTCTGATTCTAACACTTGTGCTCTTTTTGCTGTGCTGTCCTGGGAGGGTTTTTGTCATTGGGACATTTCCTGGCCGCATACTGCTCCTTTCTGCCTTGCTTTTTCCATCAATCTATCAATATTCATATGCATATGCTCCTACTATGTGCAAGAATTATGAGGATTGCAAAAAAGTACAAGCTCTACTGCTTGCCTTCAAGACCTATAGGAAGGGTTAGCGAAACATCAGATTCTATGCTTTTCTCCACTATACAAAACAGCTCTGAGTCCCTGGTCAGCTGCACTATTTCAGGATAGCCAAGCCCTACTCTTTCAGCTTCATGGCAGAGGAGAACAGCTGGAATTAATGCAAAGTCCAAAGAAAACATGAATTTTCAAAGAACCAGGTTTTATTATCACTACTGCATATAACAATTGAGCTTGGCAAATGAACTTATCCCTTGGAGATGTGTTCTTGGGGATCACTGTAATAAACAGATAAGAGCATTTCATAGTTAGCACGTCCATTGTAAGGGGTTGCGCACATCTGGAATGACTTCTGCGGTGCTCAAATAGAGCTTTTCTTTGCAGACACTCTAAATATCCTCTCTGTCTCTTCAAAATTGCATCTAATATTAATTTGCCTATCTGTATGAAGGGATTTGCAAGCAAAAGTAAATTTCAGCTTAGCATCAGATTATTGCAAATTCCAACTCCTTCACCTTTTGGTCCTTGAACTTCAGAATACTGGGCTGGGGTGAGAGAGTGTTGAGGGCTCCTGAAATCAGCTGTAAGCTTGGCCCTGTCCAAGCACGCCCGGTGCCACTGGTGAAGGTGTTGACCCTCCCCAAGCATCTGAAGATGATGACAAAGTGTGAGAACTCAAAAGGGTCTTAGAGATCATCTTCTAATCCACCTTACTTTATATATTGGGAAACAGAGACCCAGGAGAGAAGAAATGATTTGCTAAATGTTATACAGCAAGAAAGTGTCCAAATGGGACTCTTTCCTTCCTTTATACCAGTCTCTCTCTGTTTTTCCACTTACAAAAAGAGATGGAGGGTCTAGGGGGATGCTAAAGTTCCCCCATCTCTGAACTTCAACTGATCATTGACTGAGTGTCTGCTCTGAGCAGATACAGTGGGAACGGAAGCCTCATGAATTGAAGGCTTTCCCTGTAAAAGAGGGAGCAGACAGGTCCTTGCAGTGAGAGTGAGTAGAGACTTGTTCCCCATCTTTGACTGCCTCCTTGCCAGGGCTGGTACCCATCCTAGCCCAGGTAGCAGCTCCTACAGCTGCCCTTGGTGTCAATGTGATTTTTCCTGCTCCTTCTCCTGGGGGCAGTATGCTGGGGCATGTTCACAAATGTGCCAGATGTGAGCTGACATAGGTTAGAGCTTGATCAGGGGTGGCGGTCACCAGAGTAGCAGGGGTGGGGAGCCAGAGGGTGACTGCAGCCAAATCAGAGAGGTGGCCAAGTCATAATCTATGATGGCTAAATTTTTTTATCAAGTCGAGGCCACCAGGAGGAGGCCTAAAATCCTTGTGTGACTTCCTGTTGCATTTAGGATGAAGCCCCCAGTCCCCCCTGGGGCCCTGTATGGTTGAAGCCCTGGCGCAGTCTTTCCCTGCTCTCATGGGCTTGAAACATGCTGGCCTCTTCAGTTCTCAGGAAGTGCAGCAAGCTCTTCCCTGTCAGGCATGTCCACATGCCTAGAGCGTTCTCTGCCTAGAATCTTCTGGCATGCTTTGCCTGGCCGACACCTCCTCCCGATGAGGCCTCAGCTCGAAAGCCACTTTCTCAGAGAGATGCTTGGCTCCCCTAGGCTCCCAGCCTTCATTCAAATTGGGACTTACTGTCTTACAACCTCATACCTCTTACATTTTCCCATTGCAGCGCCTATCAAAGTGTGTGACTGGATGGTTATTTACCTGATTATTTATTGGATGTGTTTCCTACCAGACTGTCAGCTTCGAGAGGGCAGGGACTGTGTCTGTTTGTTGAATGATTGAGTGAATGAATGAATGAATGAATGAGAGTTAAGGTGCTGCTGCCACACATCTCCTTGTGCACCTCTGGGAAGTGCCCTTTCGTGTTGGCTGGCCTCACCTGGTTCTGGCTGGAGCTCAAGCTGACATCTTGCCCAGCTCCCCTTCCCTCCTGTTCTCTAACGGAGCCTTCTCACTTCCCACCTAATTGGACCTAAGCGATTTTGCTTGTGTCTCCATGAAGGCATTAGAGGAAATAATCCTTTTAGGAACTAAGATGACTGGGGACAGTTTACCTTCCTAGGTGCCGGCAGAGAGGCTCAGGGAAAGCAAAGTGTCTGTTCCCTGGCTGCATGCCTTTGCTGGCCTCCCAGCCTGGGCCACTGAGACTGCCGCTCCTGCCTGCCTTTTTTTGAGAGGATTATTTTCCTCTCTGCTTAACATTAAAGGCCAGAGAACTATTTACACACAACACAGTTTCCTACAAACTTGGAACAAGATGCAGCTCTTTCTGCATTTTGGGGCATCATGACGTTTAAGGACACATGCTTCAAATTTATTCCTGATCGTCCCCAGCCAGAAAATATAATTTATTTAAGTCCAGACTGTCAGGTTGAGCTCACTGCTCCTTCAGACCTGCTATTCTGCCAGGCATTTCTCTGCTTTCCCGGTAAGTGCTGACAGGCCCATTGTGGATGGCAGGGCTGGATTTGCCGGGGTGCTGAGAGTCTAAATTGCACTAAGTTGGATTGGTCTGTAAGAATTAATTATGAATTAAGAAAGATGCATGTTTC